CTCTTATATCACATATTATATTCGCAAACACCATATTTAAAATTTTAAATATTTTTTTAAGAATGGAATTGCGGTCAAGGCCCTCTGGTAGTTCCGTGTTCTTTCACATGTAAAAAGTACGAAATTTTTACATGAATTTAAGTAGTAATCTATTTCACAGGTGCGAAATATGAAAGTCCGTTTCTTGTGATATTCAGGAACTTTTGCATTATTCTACGTTAAATAGAAGACACGTCTTCTAAATTAAAATATGAATAGCCCCAAAGAATGTCCAAATCATCGCATATGTGGCTTGTAGACCAAAAAAACCAAAGTTGGGTGAATGAGGGGTTCAGCTGTAAATAATGGTATTGGACATTTTGGAGAAACTCGATGTTAGGCTTTATGAACATGGATGTTCATAATGGATAATACCGAGTGTTGCTCTAATGTCGGATATCATTATTTACAATCGAAATTCTCCACTAATAGTAAGAAATTAAGCATGTAATTGTGCTAATGGTTGTTTGCGATCTAAAATTGTGTAAAATTATTGCCGGTAATTTACAGCATATGGCATATCACGTGGGAAATGAGTTATTTTGATCCTAGTTTCGTTCGATGTATTTACTACAGCGCTGTTAAAGGTCCAAGTGGGCGAGTCGAAAAGTAAAAATGAAATCCTGCAAAACAGCCAGGGCCGTCGTTGTCGTTGTTTTTTGTTCCGCGCGTGTCGGCGCCCATTCGGGCCCAGTGTGCAGCGCCCTCCGAAGCGGCCCCGCCCCCCTCGGCCGCCGCCGCTGCCGCCGCGCTCCCCTCCGCGCGGGAACGCAAGCGGCGAGGGGAGGCAGCCACCGCCGAAATTGTTGACGCCGGGGAGAAAATTCCTGCAGACGACGGACGAGAACAAAGGGCAAAGTAAACTATATGAACTTGCATAATTATGTGCATGATTTTCTAATGTAATGTTTCGGGAAGAAGAAAAAAAAATAAGAAGAAAAATATTTTTATTCATTGGGGAGTCTCCCCTGTAGCGGTGGGAATCTTGATGGTGAAGGTGTTTTCCCCTCGGCGACGTCGCCCTTGCTATTAAGAATGCCAGATGGACCGTGTCATTAATAAATGTCACGCGGAAAGACAAAAAAAGTTGGCAATGCGGTTTCTTTGACTCGTCAATACGTTGTAGAAGAGATAACAATGATGTAATGGCTTCTTCGAGGTCTTGTCAGGCAACGCGGGGAATTAAAATTCTCTCTGTGCGCGTTTTGTGAAATAACAATTGGGGTTTTAAGGCCGTTGTAGCCGTTTGTGAATACAAAGTGTGCCTTGGTTTTATGAAAACGGGTAATACCTTGATTTCTTTTATACAGGATAAACTGCTTCCTTAGAATTAAGTTCCGTCCTTGCTATTTGCATATTTTGTATGAAATTTTAGTTATTTTTACTGGCCTTCTTTTGCATGCAATTTAACAATCCATTACTAACTGTATTTCAATATTTTTAGCAGACCCTATATTTCAGTCAAAGGGAAGGTAACTGAAGAGGAGATTGATAGTGGATCTAAATTAAAAGACCTCACATTGAAAAAAGAGTTGACTTTGAAATGGCACAAAACACCACATAAATTACAGTATAATTTTCTGCTGGAACTAATATTGTTCTAAATCTGCATTAACATTAAATAATCATTTCACTTTAGTAATAAAAAAATGTGAATAAAATATATCTCTGAAAGTTAACTATCAAAGATTATGTTCAGCGCGAGTGAACAAAGAAGTATATTAATTAAAGTTTTTTACATCACTTTGCGTTAGGTAAAAATAGTACCTTTTTCATTTATTTAATCCTTGCAAAATGTATAAACGTTTTTAACATAATGGAATGTTATTCAAAACACATATTTAACTTTGAAAATATTTGTGTTGCTGATGCATCATTTCCACTTCAAGTGAAGGTACAAAACAATAAGCTCTGTTAGAGGAAAAACGTGTGAATTGGAATAATGAATTAATACATTAATAATATTATTTACAGAAAATCTTGAAATTCACTTTAATTTAATTTAATTTTCGTCAAATGATTCGTGCACGGTGTTTTCATTTAATTTTTCCCAAAACTATTTTATCAAAATCATTTTTTGCAAATAACTGTTTCCAATTTACATCAACTTTAATATTCTCACTCACTAATTTTCCCATTTTTCCCGACCCAACTTGTCCCAAATTTAATTTTCCGATCGATTGTACGTTGTCTTCTTTTCCCTATCGTTTTGTATTTACCAATAAAACACTGTCTTAAACTAGATGTCAAAACATTATACTTGGAGGACTTATTGAATAACTAATTAAAGTACCCTGCGTTGCCTAGGTGTTTATTAATCACAATATCCTATTAAATGGAAAAAATAATGAATTCTACGAACAGTGTTCTCCTGCCTTACTCTGTCCTGATATGCCCTGGCCTGAACTGCCGCGTCACCGTGCCCCGCCTCATGCAGCCCCATTCCACCTCCCGTGCTCCACCCAGTCCCTTCTCACCCTGCTCTCCTCAGTTCCCCTCGCCACCTGGCCCCGCCCCAACCCTATCGTTGCCAAGGGTACAGATGCAGGGTTGCACACTTTTTTAAATATTTTATTCACCTGTTCGACATTGGTGCCTTTCAGGGGTAATTAATATATACATTTGATAAAATTTTAGGCTTCACAATCCTTACTATTGTTGCCACGTGGCTACTGCATTTTTCAAAATTGAAGATACCTAATTGTTAGTTTTACTTTTCTTTTTTCTTTCTTATTTAACCAACGTTTTGGAACTTTTTGACTGATTCAAATTTACTTGATTACGGAGGGTTTAATTCGTCTTTTGGATAGCCTGATTTGATTCTTTTCGGGTTGGGGGTTTGGTACGTTTTTCCTCATGAAAATAGGAACACACACCTGACAAACTTTTGGCATTTATTTTCAAATTTAATTCTCCCAAAGCGTAATTCTGTTATCTGATTGTATCAAAAATAATTTAGAAGGAAATTTTATGGACCTTAAAAATGTTTAATACTCTTTAGTGAATTTTCTCAATGTTTTCGCAGAAATCTGATAGAGTGTACACTTAAATCTACTTTTAAGGGGTCGAAAAGGGAGAAGTAGTTTTACGAAGTCTTGTGCAGGCAGTAACGTTTTTCTTCTTTTGAAGGTTGCGAGTACAAAAGTTTATTAAGATCGGAATAAAACTGTAGATTTGTTTGAACAACCAACAAATATTCATCTTTATGTAAGAGAAAAGAATACTAATTTGAAAAAGTAGCTTAAGATACCCAATAATACATTCTACTTTTAGTCAAAACCACTTCGAAATCGGTTCAACCATTCCAGAACAAATAAATAGAGAAAAAATCGTAAAAACAATTGATTTGGTTTCTATATCATCTAAAAAACACATGAGATTATATAATGGCAGTAAGTTTTAAATAGCAGACTCATACTCCATTTTTATTTTTATTTTTCTTGATAGAAGAAGGTACATTATGACGTAAAGTAACTGTGGTTTTCAAGATTGGATTTGAATACATTAGACATTTCAAATATTTAGAATGTCAGAGGAGCCGCGTTTGTATGGTTGGGTTGAGAACGACTTTGTAGTTAGTAATTGAGGTCAAATATTTCCATGTCTTTTGTAGATTTATATACTCTCTTGACCTTTTTCACTCATTTACATTGTTTCATTTATAGCAGTGCTCTAAATGGTGAAAGCTCTCATTTGGGTGATGTTATGAGCTTCGTATTAAAGAGAGTGTTCTTATGGATTTATAATAACTAATATATTACGCCATTAGTTTATAATGGTCTATGCGGCTATTCGTAAGATTGCAAAAAAGTAGCATTATAAACGAATTGCATACGCTATTTTTTGTATTACATCATTATAAGAAGATTACAGGGGTAAAATGGTTACTGAAGTAGAATGGTATGTTTCGTACATGATGTAGGCCAAGGCCAACTGTAATAGAAGCGGCCATGGTTGGCAGGGGTGTTTATTGTTCGTTGTAAAATGGATTTACCATAGGCAATATTAACAAAGTTGCTAAAGTAGAATTGTCGCTAATTCCTAGAAAATCAGCTGAAAATAATGAAAAAAGACGATAAAATTGTAACATGGATGGAAGAGAAAAATATGAATGACATTCAACTAGTGTCGCAGTACAATATATTGAGGAGTCAAGAGCAAATAAGGTTAGAATCACCAAGATAATTGTGTCTGGGAGAGAGACGCCGAACATAGGTGAACATTTAAAACTTCAAAAGAAATAGTTCTGGAAGATGGAAATAGATAGGTTCTGATAGAAATAGTTCCTGGAAGATCTGAATTTTCTTTTACGAATATTTCGAAATGCACTATTCATTTTCATTATTAATAAGCGTTTTTTGAGTGATGATTAGTTAAATTTATTTTCGTAGGGTTTCTTTTGTCGATTTGTAATTCTTGTTTCCTGTGCTACGAGTAAATAAAAACACCGTACCTTCGGCAATTGTTTGATGACGAATGTTATTTTATTGAACTACTTTCAGCATCCAGCAGTTTCTGTACGGTTTTCGATGCCATAAGAGATTGTGTATAATGTTGGTGTACACAAAACACATTTTCAGCACAATCTTCACTGTTCATTATTTGAAAAATGTTACTTTATCTTACGACTTTTAAGACTTTGCAACATGAGTACCGTCAGAAAGTCAGGTTCCTACAAAACAGTTGAGTTCTACAAAGTAAACAAAACACTGGGGAATCATAAATAAGCATAGTTGCTGGCTCGATTATAGACAATAATCCCAAGATTATATATTATATTTAGTGAAAAATAATTGAATTACACTCATTTGAAACTCGTTTCGGTAATAAGCATCATTTTCATTTTCCGTTGTTTCTAATAACATCAGGTTAGCCACAACAGAAGCGTTCGGAACATTGTCTGTCAGGTTGGTCGCACTAATATTTTACTTTATGCCTCCATAACCTGAAAATACTTTGCCTAAGAAACATGTCATCATGAAACGGGATGGCGATTTCTGCACCTCATCGTATTGCAGAAGGTAAGTGTACAGGATTACTCACATATTTTAAATTTAGTTTTCTTAAATACGACGTGTTTAATAAATTTAATTCAGTATTCATTGTATTTTATGCGAAAGAGCAGTGAACCTTTCGATAAGAACCTTTCTTCTTATCGATCTCGTGGAATACAGAAAGATCTTTGAACTTATTATTCGACTTTCTCTGTGGAATTATTATTAAATTGTAACGCGATTTCACATACCTATTTTTGTCAAATTTTATTTAATCATGAAGAATTGTGAGTTTTACGATATTTGGAAAAAGCAGAAATGTGATATTTTCAACTAATATTGTATGAAAACATCGATGAGAAAATCTGATTGAAAAGTGTTCGTGAAAAGAGTTGATGTGGATCCATGTTCAAGTTCTATTACACCGTATATTACGATACAAGTGGAGAAGAAAGGTGGATATATTTTTTTCAAAGATGCATAACTAATATTGCCAAAAGTTAAGTGCCTTGGTCAGATTTATCGGACAAATTGTTTATTTTCTTCATAACAGTTATCCGGGTCGTTATCAGATCTGTTATCTCGACACTTGAACGCGGAGGCAGAATAAGAATAAGGGCCTTCAGTATTACCGACTGCGGTAACGACCGAGGTAAGAGGAGGGGAGGATGATATGATCTTCAGGCGGTGTTAATTCAGCGTACGACAGTGCCACCAACCTCGCCCCTACCGTCTCACAGTTGCCACGTCTGCCTCTGCGACCTCGCTTTCACCCGCTCTGTCGCTATGCCGCGTTTCAACGTTCCTTTGTCCTCCCTCATGCCTAATTCACGCCGTAGTCGCCGCCACCTGCAGCAGTGTTGCTGTAATTGCCAACAACCGACATCTTATATCGCTACACAGATGCCTTCTCAAGCGATATTCTACCTGGCGTGCCTCTTGTATCGTGGACCTTTTCTTTGCCTTTGTTATCGCATCGCTATTGTTACATCTCGAGTGTTCTCGGTCCTCGATGTTACTGCATCTACTCGATCTTACTGTACTCATCTTTATTGCCTTGTCCCGTAATCTCTGCCGCAAGAGACCGTCGCCTTGACAACAGAGCAACTGCCGTAACCATCTCCGCTATAAAACCGCAGCTCTCGCGTCGCACAATCCCTGTCAAAGTCACAGTTTCAGCGCTGAACGAGGTTCAGCGAAATGTGACAACGAAACTGGGTACCTACGTTAAGCACCGAAGTGAGGAAACGTGTGGGCTTTCGCGAACTTTAAAGCCACGCTAAGGAAATTTAGGGCTACGACCGTTTGCACAGTTTACTGTGTCGTGTAACGAGAGATTTTGTTATAGTATTTGCTTAAGAGCGTTATCATTAACATCTTAAGATCGGGTTAAGAAGTTTAATGGACAAAAAATCTTCTCTGTTAAGAGCTGTCCGCCCGTAAGTGAGAATTGCCAACCTGAAAATTTGATGTCGAACTTGAACGTATTCGGTATAATCAACCTGAAAAAATATCGTAAAGGAAATATCCTATTGGAAGTTGTAACAAGTAACCTATTTCAAAATGCATGAACATCGTCATTCCTTGTAACGGAAGAAGTGTATACAATGTGCACTTTTCGTTTATAACTAACAAGGCCAACTCAGTGGTAACTAAATGTATTGGTTCACCTCCCAACACTAAAGCTGTTTAAGATAAATTCAAATACACACACTAATTTAGGAAGTGATATCTGAAAAACGTTTGAGAAATCAACCAATGGTTGATTACAACTCATGGTTACAACTCATTTGTCAGTGCAGCCTTTGTAACAACCCCACATAATAATGTAGCATAGTAATGCATCATCTGAGCACGCCGTTTTGGACTCCAAAATCCCTACCCCAGTCCGCTTCACCTTTCACACTTAAATTAAGATTAGCCTATAGGAAAAGCGTTGCTGGCAACAATTGATAACAAGACATTTTCTCTCTGTGAAATGCAGACATGTCAAGATCGTGGGCAAGGTAATTAACTCACTAGAGTTCGCAGGCATTGGGTCAAGAGCAACTGGCGTGAGATATAAAAGCAAGGGTTGTACAAAATGCTTCGGAATAGCAACAAGTCACCGCATACCCGGCTCATGGCAGCCTTTTGGAGAAGTCAGTAGACAGTTATTGCCCCATTATTTCCTATTTCTTCTACTAAAGCATAACTGATTGATAAAATTACTCAATACTTCAGTCAAATTTGAGAGAACTGGGAGTGAAATTGAATGGAAAGCATCTTGATTTTGTTGTAGTATTTGCTTAAGAGTGTTATCATTAACACCTTAAGATCGGGTTAGAATGTTTAAGAGACAAAAAAATCTTCTGTGTTAGGAGCTGTCCGCCCGTAAGAGAGAACTGTCAATCTATAGTTTTGTTCATTTATTTCACATCATTGGCAAATAAAATAAAAAAGTGAATTATTTAAAAAAATCATAACACAAAACTAAATGAAGGAAAAATCCCCCTTCTCATTGAAATATATTAACATAAGGCAGAGTTTAAAGAAATAAAAATTTACGTGAAATAGTAATACGTAGTAAGGTTTAACTTAATTCGAAGTCCGCTGCTTGGTACGTAATCCGACACTGTTTCAAATGATGCCACCGTTCCCAGCTTCGCGTCGTTTCAGCTTGCGCCTGTACACTCGTTTCTGGATTTGGAGGGGAAATGAGAGCGGAGTCAGGGGAAGTTGCCCATGCTCACGGGAACGCCGGGCTTCCATGGAGGGCTAGTAGCTCATGGAGGCGCGAATTGATATGTCTGGTTACAGAACCTTTGTGCTTGGGTAAACGAGCGACTGATTTCATTTTATAGAACTGCTTGGGAAATAACTAAATCTCTCTCTTCTCTCGCATCTAGCAAAATGAGAAATATAGAAAACGTGCGGTAACACTAGCTTGTGAAGTGCTGAATTTCCCCATTCTGGTCTCATTCTTTGAATTAGAGGTCCACACTATTTACTGCTATGTCACCCTTCGCACGTGGTGATGTGGGTACGGGCCGTACCGCAACATCAACCATCGTGACGTCTGGCGCCGCCACCGCAGCGGCCGCGGGCACTTCGCCCGACCCTTCGCGGGCGGGGAGGCGAGGGGGCGGGGCGGATTGAGGTGGGGCAGGTCCGCACCGGATGGTGACACACGGAGCCCGCGGCGGGAGTCGTCGCCGGCGCTGGGGGACTTCGCCACCTCGCAGCCCCTTCCGCCCCGCCCCTACGGCCCGGCCCCGCTCCGCCCCGCCCCCGGGCTCCCAATCAGCTGCGGAAATGCCGTGCGCGCCGCTAACTTTGTTTACCGCCGCTGATTGCTATGAGTCACACGTAGCTATCGACGGCGGTACGGGCGCGGTTGCCCTGGCAACGGAGATGCGACCGCGCGGCTCCCGCGGTCGCCCTGCCCGCCACCTCCGCCTCCGCCTCCTCCTCCTCGGCCGCAGCCGCCCAGCACCAGCAGCAGCAGCAGCAGCGAGACCCGCAGCTGCCGCCTTGGCGTCCTTCCAGACTCGGCCTCTATTGTTGTAAAATTGCTACTGGATTTGTCTCATTTGTCATTGCCCGATGACTACCATTTCATGGTCACTTCTTTTTTTCAATGGAGTTGTCACTGTCGCTGTCATAGTCGCGTCCACTACCACAATCAAGCCTTCTGCCAATTTGGTGTTGTCGCGGGGCAACTGCTGACGGTGTTATTATTTATATACCATGTTTCCCATGTTTCCACTAGTTATAAATACACGCCTCTTCGCCGCATACTTCCCAGGCATTTTCTTCAACTACACGAACGGTTAACATGCTTGCCTACTTCATCCCTCGTGTTTTCTTATTTCGATCTAAGGTCCGTTTGCGTTCAGATGCGTATCGTGTCCTGCGACTGCTAAGTATTTGGACGCCTTTGTATTTTCTGTTTGCTTTTATCTACTCCAACGTGTATGGCTTTGGCTTCTTTCTTTCGACGTTCCCTTGCAATCCCTCAGTTCTTGTCTTTTCTGTTCCCTTAAATATTACTTTTCTGTCTTCACCTCCATCGTTCTTCCTTTCCTATCCCTTTATCTTCTCGTCTTTTTCCCCCACTATCATTCTGCTTCGGCGCGGCCTCAGCCATCGCTGCCAGCAACGCCCCTTCCGCTGCCGCCTCCGCCTCCGCCGGCAGTCGTTACTATGCCGGTCTCGCGCGTTCCGCCTTCTTCCCTCCCCGCTCCGCCCGCGTCGCCGGCTGGCTGACGGCTGGCCCGCGCGCCCGCAGCCAG